TAGTTACAAGGGCAACAGAACGTTCGTTGCCGAGGAAATGAGAATGGCCAACATCTATTTCCCCAAACCGAAGGCACCGAATTTACTGTATGATTTGAATCATTGTCTTGCTGGACGACTAATCCACCCCACCTGATGAATCATATTCCTGGGGGGTATAACGTGATTGATGAAAATCTGGCTCTACTTCTCAGCAGTTAGTGTGTCATCAAGTTTGTGTAGATCACAGGTTGAGAAGTACCTTCAAACATGTACTGAACTTACATAATACCTCCTGCAGATGTAAATTGACTATGATACCATTCTTCTGTTGGAATCAAGTGTAAAGAGCAAACGGCTCCTCATTTGTTCATGCCACTACTTGTAATCCGATGACCATTTAAGATTTTTGTTTTGGTTACCTCTTCTCAGTAGAGGTTTTCGATCAGCTATATGTCAATTGAGACCACTTGATGCTAATATGTTCTCGATGTGGCATTCATAACTTTATTTACAGTAAGTTCGTTGGCAAGATCTGTATTTAACCATTATCTGTCACGTGAATATCATACTCTGTATTCAACCGCCGTCTGTCACATGAAGAACATGCTCAGTATTCAACCGCCGTCTGTCACATGAAGAACATGCTCTGTATTCAACCGTCGTCTGTTACGTGAAGAACATGCCCTGGGATAGTCAACATCACTTTTGGAGAGTTTTAATTGTCTATCTCGACAACTTCTATTATTAATAGTTTATCCAGCTTTTACGTGCACTCTTCAGAGTCTTGCATACAGCTCTTATTGAAACATGGAGTCATGTCGCAATTTTTGCATGAAACATCTTTGATCAGCCAAAACTTTAATATATACATACTTGTCATGCGATATTTCACTCCTGGAAGACGTGCGTGAATTCACACTACTACTGCTGGGTGTAGTATGGCTGCCTGTATTTTATAAGCTTTATATTTATTTATCAATTTTGGATTGGTTACATGATAACATTAAAACTGCTTTAAAGTCACCACGGAGAGGGCGTCCCAGCTTGAAACGTTGTGAATATTTCACATTAGCCACTTGTCGTGGAATAAGTTCTTCCTTTCGATTTTTATACAATATTTTGTAACAAGCAACAATCTATTCCATGGTCTTCTAAAGTTTATTTTAAGCGTTACTTTACTGACATTTATAGATAAATTTTAATTGATTTATTTTCAAAAGACGAATTAACGAAACGACGAACAACGAGAATTGGCTGTATTCAAAATTGCAACTGTTTTATAATGTGTAACCAATATTATTCAAATAAGATAATACATAAATATAAAGCATTTTTCCTTCTGTACTGTTGACGTGAGAAACTGGCTGAGCCAATTTCGATGAAATTTAATTAAGTAAGTCGGGTTGATCCATCAAAGATCGAGTCGAAATGGATAAGCAATCATTTGAATGGCTCATGTACTACGGTTCAAAATAGTGAAAAGGGACGGCTTAGGCCCCAGTTATGGCCTCCCTTTACCGAAAAGGTTCGGCCCACGCTCCCCAGTTATGGTCTTCCTTTATTGAAAAGGGTCGTTCCACGACCCCAGTTATGGCCTTCCTCTTTTTAAGCTCGTTATTCTCGGGTGCCTTTATTATCTTATAAAAAAGAAAGATTAGGTTATCGAGTTTATTTTGCCATGATAATTTATGCCTTATCGATTTATTTTTCATAACGCTGTACGTATTTAGCAGTACCTATATATAACATAGTTTTAAAAATATTGAGCATTTAGAAAAAAAAAAATGTATCTGTGACGTCATATACAGTCAGGCTATGTCAAGACAGGACGAATTTTTTGAAACCCGCATGTGTCGCGATTCTTTTTGTTTCGTCTCAAACAAAGCGTAAACTTTGAATTTTACGTAAAAAAAAGAACCTAAACGAGGTAAATGATCTTAAGATATTGTGCCGAAATCACATAAGACTGTTAGAAATATTCTATAACGTAGTAATTACTTATGTAAAACTGTCAAGAGTTTCTATTGACTTGACTTTTGTAATCCAGTTTATGGGTATAATACATCAATGTTGCCCAGCTTTGTGCTTGTGGTGAGTCACACCGTATTTTTGAGTGCCGTATCAGAGGCCGACACTAATTACACAGGCCTGCGACGGATTTATTGTTTTAAAAATGTTTACATGTTCTACGGTAATTCCTGTACGCTGAATCCCAAAATGATATTCATTTTTCTCCATCACGCACAGATTTATCACAAAACGTCATAACGCAATACATAGAAGAAAGATCATAAGTACGTAGTTTTGAGACTAAAAGACGTAGATTTCACACACAAAAAATCAGGATGACATCAATGTTCTTCAGTTTGTATTTTTGTTAACAAACGTAATAATAAAATGTTCATCGTGGTAAACGAAATAAGAATTTGATCTAAGTAAGTTTTTGTTTCTTTCGGATTTGTAAAAAATTCCCTACGTGATAGAAAAATGAATATTATTTTCGAAATCTGAGTAGCTGAATTATGGAAAATCCGTTATTAAAATCAAAACAACTTTTATGAAGTTTAAATGCGCAGGCCTGTCTTATCAATTAAAAAAATCACATCATAGCCTCATTCAGATTTATTAGTATTAAATATAGTAATAGGTAACATTAAGCAACTAACCCTCAAAGTCTATAAAAATAGCTCTATTTTTTATTTACTTACTTTTAATTTTTACCTGATGAACAACCCATTACAAACACATTCATAGGTTTAAAACAAAACACGACTACAGAAAGATCATGCAGGAACGGCCACTTTTCGAGCTGATCAACACCCTCCGCACTTTTTCATCAGTAGGGACGTTATACAAGCGAGTCAATCTCGCTATTCAATTATTAAGGGTAACCTGGTACTTGTAATTGGCAGGTACTGGTTGCCTCCCCTCGGTTCAGCAGTTCTCAATTAGCAATGGCTAAACCTGAACCTCGAGGTTTCTGACCTAGTTTGTTTAGCCCATGTGTTGTAAAAGTTGTCACTGAGGTTTAAAATACCAAATACGAGGGTTAGGTAAATGTTCTATATATGTACCTCAAGATATGTATTTTGTCAAATCACATTTTTAATGTATAACGCTTATGAAACTTTATACCGTATTTTTCGGTGTATAAGACGCATATTTTTACCCCAGAATTTGATGTCGAAATCTGCTTGCGTCCCATACACCAAAGGTATGAATAATATATATGTATATATATACAATATACACAAGCCATGTGTAAATATATTTAAATAGGCGTGCATAGTTTATAACAATAGTAGTTGTTTTTTTTTATTTAAAAAAATAACTATTTGTAATGCTCCCTAAATAATAATAAAAAAATTACAGTGAAAGCAATGAAGATTTTGTAGGTTTTGAACCAAACTAAATAACAGTAAACATTTTTTGATTTACGGTATTTTCTTATTTTGAGCTCTTTTGTGTTTAGAACAATATATACTAATTTTTAAAATATCAAATTGAATTTTTGTTCAATAAAAATCTTTCAAATGCCACTGTAGCTTTTTTTCCCCAAAACTTTGTCTTCAAAATAAGGGTGCGTCTTATATTCCGAAAAATACGGTATATAAGACAACTCGAATCCTTTCTTTTTTTTACCAAGCTGTTCCTTATTTTTAGTATATAAAGAACAGTTTGATAAAAACGTAGTTTTGTTATGCATATTCTTCTTGAAGAGAAATGACCTTGAATTACAGCTGTTACATAAATATATATATATATATATATAGACACACACACATTGACTGACGTGATGAGTTTTTTTCTTATCAACGAATTCAAAATTAACAGCTTTGGCTTTACCCATCTTAAATTTAAATCAACCAAAAAACGTAAGTATAAGTGTTTTAAGAGTCCCACTGTCAGTAATTAATATACTGTGATGTAATAAAACTGTGAGGACAGCTGTTGAGTGGATTATTTTATTTTTAGAAAATTTATTACGACGTTTCGACCACTTGTGTGGTCATCATCAGGTAAACGTGTGTTATAGTGTTAAGTATCAGTAATTTACTCGAGCATTTTGTTCCAATTTAGAATACATATAAAGAGACATCTATATTTTGATTTAAATTAGGTTTTAAATCGCGGATAATTAACGCTTCTTTAATTTTTCTCCTATTGATATTATCAATATTTAATTAACGCTTCTTTAATTTTTCTCCTATTGATATTATCCGCGATTTAAAACGTAATTTAAATCAAAATGTAGGTGTCTCTTTATTTGTATTCTAAATTGGAACAAAATGCTCAAGTAAATTACTAATACTTAACACAAGTTTACCTGATGATGACCACACAAGTGGTCGAAATGTTGTAATAAATTTTCTAAAAATAAAATAATCCACTCAACAGCTGTCCTCAAAGTTTTATTATTTAAGTAAAAGTGGATTTTCCTCTCCTTTCAACAGTAATACTGTAATGTAGTCCTAGACGTTTACATTAGGCAAAAGTGAAAGAAAATTTTTACCATGTGTACCTCTCAAACAAGAGTGAACCTGTCTTACATTGTATGTTTATAGACTTGTATCTCAAACCATAAATAGTAATAAAAAAATTCATAATCCAGAATGTTTTTAGAAGCAAGTTAATTACTAATAGCAAAAACATTTTTTTTAATCAGTCCAAAATAGACTGATAGATTTTTTAATAAACTTTTAGGTGGAAAAGTTAATTATCTGTATTATACAGCAAGGTTGATGGTTACATATTGTTTTTCACTGTTGAGAAAACCTCAAATAATATATTTTTTTAACTTGTGAAACAATAATAAAATCCCCTCTCACTGGGTTTATGTTTAAATAAAGGAAATTTACTTATTATAAAACAAATAACATGATTTAGATTGTGTCATGTAAATGTTCATGGAGTCTGTCACATGGAAGAAAGGATACTTGGTATTATATCAGAGGCCTAACATATTAACATGTGTAGCACGTTAACTAAAAACCAAAGTTGAAATAAAACAGACAAGCTTTTTCATCACAATAGGTATTTCTTTTATTGTGGTCACTGTACAAAAGCCCCTATATCAACACTACTGTACAGATAAAATAGATTTAAGATTTATACAGAATTTTTTGTACAGGAAGTCTTTTGTACAGTATGCTTACCACAGACTACAGTTTTTCAGCAGTTGCTGAAACAAATGCACCCTTTCTCAAATTACATCATCTGCCCCAAGATAAGGTGGGGCTTCAGAAACAAGGCATAAAAAAAAAAAACACACATGACTTGGACGTTTAAGAAATACCAGTGACTATCAACAAGTGTATGTGACTTGTTCACATATTAACTTAGATTAAATGGTAGGAAATTCACAATTAACTTACATTAGTAGTATCACCAATATATTTTTATACAACAACAATGTTGTTCATAGTTAATACTAAATTAATACCTTGCCCAGAAATTAAAGTATCTGGTTGTGAAAATACAAGACAATGTTAGCAGCAAATTGATCTTGAGCAGCAATCATATCACCAAATTTCATGATGTATTGTTGTTACACAATTCTATTCAGCATCAATGTAACTTTATCTTACAAAGCATCTTATATAAACTTTCACACTTCTGGTCTCCCCAAAAGTACCCTTCTTTATTTCGATATGCATTATGTGCTCAGAACTAACACACTAAGCATTTCAGTGCAAAACAAATGAATAATTCACTTTAATTATGTCATTAAAAACGAAAAAATCTTTACATAGTCTTGACACTGAAACATTTCAAACCAGTTGTATACTTCCCAAAATCTTAACCAATAAGAATTCCATAAATAAATTTCTACCAGGGTAATAAAAAAAAATAGTACTTTAAATTGCCTGTAGAAGTGCATGTGAACTGCAAATATTCAACATTTTTGTAAAAATATAACCCAAAAATGCATTTATATATATTTTTTACATTAAAGTAACATATGTATTCTTTATTGTTATACACTAGTAGCTGCTAAATTACAATTTTAAATTTTGTCATATTCTGAAATATAAGATCATAGCTAAAGATAAGCTATTAATTAATTAATTCCAAAAATTTATCTTATCAAACAGTACAAACTATTCATACACTTTAAAGAATACACAAATGTAGTAACTTATATCCCAATTTCTTAATTTAAAAATTCAATAAAATATCTGGTATAAAGAATACACTCTAGTAAGTCTAACCTGAAGGTATTATTTTACTGCAAAATAGTATAAATTTTTTTTTCTCAGTATAAAAATGTAAGAGACTGTGATAGCACAAAAACAAAATATACCATTTATCATTCATTCTTGGACAAAATAATTTAGAATCAGGGGTAGATTCATCAAAATGTGAGCAGAGATGGTGCATTAATAGCTGTGATGGTGTATTATTTGAAACTGTTTGTACTTCCAATGTTCATGATTCTAAATTTACAGTACTTAAATTTGATTCTTACAATACACAAAAACCCATGAATGAAACAAAATATGAAAGAGATCACAATTTGAAAACTTCTTTTGTGAGCAATTAGAGATTTGGCAGATTAATTGTAACCTTAACTGGAAACATAAGCTGCCAGCTGCTCCAAGCTCATATTCCCCCACACATTATCTTTACAACTAGCTCTTGGGAATTTTCTCAAACTAGGAAGGTAAAGCTGACTTCCATTGTGGTAAGACCCATTTTCATTAGGAAAACTACTCACAGCGTTATCATTATTGCACCTAGAATCGAAGGATTCCGATGACAGCTTACTTCCCTCATAGATGATACAAATGCTACCATTTTCACCAATTCTGTATGACACTTCACGAGGATCAATCCACAGAGCAAGCTCATTAGGAAACTCTTGACGAAGTCTAGCTTCATCAAGACCACAAGCTTTTCCAGCTTTTGTAATAACTGGATCCATTTTGTGGTTGATTCTGATGCAGCGATATCCAGAGCCTTTAAAAGGATTATCTGGAAACCAATGTTGTTGGTAGTGATGGTTAAGCATATTTTCTAAATTGTTACGGAACATTTCAAGTTGGTTGGAATCAAGTGATTTCTTAAGTCGAAGAAGACTCGTAAGGAAGTCTGTAGCACTTTGAATCTCTTGCCTCATCTTGGCGTTTCGTCCCGATGGAATGATAAAATTAAATTCCTAAGATAAGCCACCTTTCCAGAACTCGAAACAGCCTGAGCCTTTTGAATTTAAATTGGAGTGATATGCTGTCCTGTCGTTAGGCTTAACACGTATCAGAATGAATATCGTAGAACCAGGCCCTAACCTGCAACAGACCCTTTCTGTAACACTTAAGTTTTAGATTATTCGTTGACTTATATAGGAAGCTATTTTTTTAAATCAGAGGCTGTTACTGTGATAATTCTGGTTACTATGTACTTGCGTGTGGTATGTGGACGGTAAATACTGAGATCTGAAAAAAAATGGCGAGATGTACTCACCAACTTCACCACTATTCTCCCTTCTAAAGTTCTACGTTCAGTGTCACGTACGCTTTCCACACAAACAACCTTATATTCCACTCTTTGTCAACACTCGGAAACGCGTATGACGTCAGGAACGAGTACTACGCTGATGACGTCACTCCCTAACCAATGAAATGTACAGTACAGTACGCTTAGTTCAACTCACTGGTAAAAAGCTTATTAACCATTCAACCAATCAAAAATGAAGTTACTTTGCAGGCGAGAGAAGTTTACTGCTAGCGAGCCGTAGGTAGGCGCTAGGAAATACTGCACTTGCTCAGGAATCAAATAGATGATACGAGTAACAAGAAGACTTCTTGTTTTAGTTACTATTCGCTACCCAAATAACCAGAAAACTAATGATATATGTAAATTAATCTATTTATACTTTTTTGATTGAATCCACCTTGATAGTATCAAACAAGCAATTACAGAAAATAAATATGGAAACTGAAAATCCTGCGTAAATACGTTATCACTGTTTATTGTAATACTCCGTTTTTTATTTAACTGTTATTTCAGAACTAACTAGAAAAGCTATAACCATGCCATTAAATAAATAACATTAATTTAGCTATTTTGTCTGTTATTAAGCAAAAAAGTTATACAATGGGCTTTTATACTGTACCCGCCGCAGGTGTTGAATCCCGAATTTTATTGTTATATGCCCTAAAGCTACCGCTGAGCCACCAGGTGAGGGCAATTGTTTTAGCGCAAAGCTACACAATAGGCTATCTGTGCTCTGTCAATCACGGGGAATCGAACCCCGATTTAAGCGTTGTAAATCCATAAACTTACCGAACACCCACTGGGGTACGTGTGGGCAGTTATCAATTTTGAAAAACTGTTCGTTACACCCAAATTATTATAAAAGTAGTCCTCCTCTGCATCCTTTGGAATTGGTCAAAACTAAGCGGAGTATTATTTCTATGAGCAGAATTAAAGCATTTACTTGTATTTTATTTTATGTCTATTCTTTTCTGTAAACACTCAGCTTTACAGTTTTTACAACAAATGTTCCTACCTCAACAACATTAATATTACGTAAGCCTGACGACTAATAAGTCTCTTTCAAATTTATTTTTTTGTATGAGTATGCACATCTTTTCTTAATGCGCCTCAATTTGATTATAATTTTGATAACATTAAGGCATGTTACAGAAAATGGGATAATTAATAATTCTATATCTTCTATTTGTTGTCAAGGTAAGATTTTTTTTGTTTATTTGTTTTAAAGCTATAAACAAGTTTAAAAAATAACCTCGAAAACCTCATAAAAGTATTTATTAACCAAACTTGAGTTGACTAGGAGCTGAGATGTACAAAAAAATAATAAGTTGATGAATCAGTCCCAGTTGCATTAATTTAGTGAAGTTTTTTTCCAAAAATAAATCTCCAAATGATGATACTAAAACCTTAGAAACAGCAATGTTACCATGAGGTCTCAGAATTTTCCGTTTTGAAGACGGAAACGATGCTGGTAGTATTTAGGTATTATTTCAGTTTGCATATAGTTTCGAAACGCCACATTCTACCAGTTGGACAATTTTGTTTGTTTGTAATTAAGCACAAAGCTACACAATGGGCTATCTGTGCTCTGCCCACCACGGGTATCGAAAACCGGATTCTAGCGTTGTAAGTCCGCAGACATACCGCTGTGCCACTGGGGAGGCAACTTTTTTTTTGTACATTAAGGATCTTCATCTTTGTTTGGAAAGTAAACTTTATGATGTTTTCAACAATAAAAAACACCTTATTTTTGACTTTATTTTATTTTGTAAGATGCTTTTAACTTCCTTTTCATGTATAAAGTAACACTTGGTGCAAATATTTTATAGACTTGTTCTAAGAATCTTCCTAAAGATACCTGCATCTTATCCTCTCTGTCTTTTAATTAAAAAACATCAACAAGAAGTCAAAAATATGCTGCCATCACACATGATAAAATATTATTTAGGTGTTTACTTGACTACTTATTTACGTATTTACTCCTAGTTGAATTAAAAGTAAAAAACATGTTCGTATAGTCTTTGATTTCATAAGTAGTAACATAAACTAACATGCGTCCAATGAAGGAAAATATTTTTTTTACATCCTTTGTTTAGTACCCATTACAAGCTCTGCCTAGAAATGCCAGGGTCACAGCTGAGCTGGCAACCTGGCAACTATACTCGATCATTCCTTACCATCTCCATATATGGAAGTAAGCGTTTGTTGTCCTTTGTGTCATTATTCTCGGATCTGTGTCTCGGTCTCTCGTAGCAACCAGTAGAACAGGTCTGGGCGGTGGTTGGAAAGGATGAAAAGTGTAATGGTGCGTTTACAGTTTGCGAATAGTATAATTTTTGTATAGTTAATCTATGAAATATATTATATGCCTCTGGGTAAAACAGGAAAGTTTTGTAAAATTACAGTGGTAAATATATGTGTTTTACATCTTTAATCAAGCTTTTGTATAACGTATGTGACTATGTGGTATTGGTATTGGAGGGTTAGTTTGTGGACAATGGAAATCACACTGATTGTAGATGATATATTTAAAATACGACGCTTTTAGACTTTGTGAAAATTCACTTGTTTATATGTGTTAATTTGATGAATTTACATTTTTAAAAGCTTTTGTTTAAATAAAGTTTTATCAAAATGAGGATTATTGCGTAACAATTCGCCACATATATTTTAAAAGTATGTAAGTTAAAATATTGACATTAGGCTTAACATTCCATTCATTTTTGTCGCATAAAAAGTTAAAGAAAGCGAGTATGCTTGTTTTATAGAAAGCTAAATTGAGCTATCTACTATGTCCACCGCGGGGAATCGAACCCCGGATTTAAGTGATGTAAGTTCGTACTCTTAACGCTATCTCACCGAAAGCGAGAATCAGTGATTCTCTGTTCCATTTCCAGAATAACTTATTTTTTAAATTTAAGTCCTCTAATGAATCAACGATTTGATAGGTTTTCGAATATGTTACTAAGCATCGTACAAGAATGAAGCTAATCTACAAATATAAATGTACATTGAATTTTGTTTGCTACAGGTATTGATACTAACTTATTAACAGCATAATTTCAACTTAAATTATACGATTTTCTAACATTGTACAACTGAGGCATGTAAGTGAATTTTCTCTGAGATAGAAACAATTTGAGTTTTGCGTATACTATAAATCTAGCTGTTTCTTTTATTCAAGTCAGTTACAAATAATGATAATGAATAATGAAATATTCATATTTTTTAAATGATCTTACAGGAACCGAGTTATTATTTATAGTATTAAAACTGAAATGATTTAAACTTATTTTGAGAATTTTTGGAACATTTGAAACATAAAACCTTAGACTATTATCCTATGTTCACGATACTATCTCAATGGGTTGTAAAACTATTTCAGGATGTTGATGTTCAATTGAAACTAATATAAAAGGTACAATTTATAACCACAGTGTCGTGCAAAAAGCACATATGTTGTGTAAATCAATGCCGGAATTAATAAATTTCTTGAACTTTTGATCAGAAATGGTTTGTACGTTGGTATAACGATATATAGTTATGTTCTGATTAAGAAGTTAGCATACGGGATCACATACAAAAGTTGTATTGCTTTTGAAACGAGACCCAAAAGTCGAGCGCTTTCGAATAGTTAACCATTCTTCTTCAGGATAATAATAAAAATATATATATAGTTCACTATTCTCCTTCAAGATAATAATAAAAAAAATATATAGTTCACTGTTCTTCTTCAGAATAATAATAAAAAAATATTGTTCACTATTCTTCTTCAGGATAATAATAAAAATATATATAGTTCACTATTCTTCTTCAGAATAATAATAAAAAAATATTGTTCACTATTCTTCTTCAGGATAATAATAAAAAATATATAGTTCACTATTCTTCTTCAGGATAATAATAAAAAATATATAGTTCACTATTCTTCTTCAGGATAATAATAATAAAAAATATAGTTCACTATTCTTCTTCAGGATAATAATAAAAATATATAGTTCACTATTCTTCTTCAGGATAACATAAAATATATATAGTTCACTATTTTTCTTCAGGAT